GGTGCAAATTTGGGTCGTCGCGGACAGAGTCTAACATCTCATTAGCAATGTTCATGTGATGCTGTTTTTGGTCGTTCAATTTTGATACGAATTTCGCGTCGACCCGTCTCATGCCCAAATCATTGATAAAAATCGAATGGCACGAGCCAATCGATATGTTTAGGTCCTCAGCAACTTCTCTAACGGTGATTCGACGATTGGCCAATACCATTTTCTCCACTTCAATAATTTTTTCGTCTGTTGTTGAAGTGCTTGGGCGTCCGGCACGCTCTTCGTCGTTCACATCTTCACGGCCTTCTGAGAACATTTTGTACCACCCATAAACGTTGCTTCAGTCCAAGGTAGCTTCTCCGTAAGCCACAGTCAACATTTGGAATGCACGCACGCACTTAATTTCGTTTTTCACACAAAATTTGTTGATACAGGTTCATTGATTAATTTTTTTGAATAGGTAAAAATCGGAGACGATCTAAAACACGTGCAAGCAAAGCAGCTGTCAACAATTAAGTGCACATTCAAAATGGCCGAGCTTGTCGGCATATGTGAGAGACATGAGTACCAACATAACGCCACAAAAAAATCGAAATTCGATACGAGGTAATCCGAGCAAATTCAAATTTGGCGATACTATTTGAACACACCCGTAGTTAACATGCTTGTCTGATGAAAAACAACGATGTCATAATGTTATATCCGTTATTTCTATATAGATTTTTCGATCTTTTCTATGGCAGCTATAAGATATAGTTGTCCGGTGGGGGTTTGACTGATTACACAGCCACACAAAAAAAAAATATTTTTCGGGCCTGGAGGTCAGACCATGTTTACTATATGTTTTCGGGGTCGCTGAATCCGAATCCGAGGTCCAAAAAACCCCAGCACGTCAGGGTTCTGACATAACCTCAAAAAACCTCATACAAAATTATATTCGGTCCGTGGGTCAGACCATGTTTATTATATGTTTTCAGGGTCGCTGAATCCGAATCTGAGGTCTAAAAAACTCCAGAATGTCAGGGTTACGACATAACATCAAAAAAACCTGGAGTTTTTTAGACAACGGATTCGGATTCAGCGACCCCAAAAACATATGGTAAACATGGTCTGAGCCCAGAACTCGGAAAATAAAAATTTTATCAAGTTTTTGAGGTTATGTCGTAACCCTGACATTCTGGAGTTTTTTAGACCTCGGATTCGGATTCAGCGACCATGAAAACATATAATAACATGGTCTGACCCACGGACCGAATATAATTTTGTATGAGGTTTTTTGAGGTTATGTCAGAACCCTGACGTGCTGGGGTTTTTTGGACCTCGGATTCGGATTCAGCGACCCCGAAAACATATAGTAAACATGGTCTGACCTCCAGGCCCGAAAAAATATTTTTTTTGTGTGGCTGTGTTATTAATCAAATAATTATTTTTTGCCTATTGACTGTAAATATATTGTCTGTAATACACTGGTAAATACTTGATTCTTGTCGTGATCCCTGAAAATATCTAAAATAATAATAATAACAAGAAAGGAAGCTAGCTTCGGCAACCCGAAGCTTATATACCCTTGCAGTCATCAAATATGTCAATCAAAATGCATAAGGGCTAAACAACATTAAAACTATGATGATTTTTCTTGAAATTTTCCATATTTTCGACTATTGTTCGTATGACAGCTATATGATATAGTTGTCCGATTTTGATGAAATTTAATATGCAATTCAAGAGCAGTTAGAAAACTCTATATTCCAAAAATTATAGTTTTATTTCCCTTATTTCTATATAGATTTTTCGATCTTTGCTATGGCAGCGATATGATAACGTTGTCGAATTTAAAGTGAGCCTCAGTTCACTTTGGAGTCAGTCGATTCAGGAAACCTCGGGCTTAATTCGTTGTACCAACTCTCTGGACTCACGCAGAATCGATGATTTGTTATCGGCGGTCAGTCAGTAAACATATATTGTTTACATTTTTTTTGTTATAAGTTTATTGTTCACCGCACATAACATATTTCAAACTACAGTAGAATCCTGTTATAACGACTCCGCTTATAGTGTCCGTCCGGGTTTTGCGACGAAAACTCGATGGATTCTACTTTAATATTTATATTATTTTGATTAAAAAATGAATTGTTTTCTTTTAAATTAATTTATTTTAAGTTTAGCTTTACAATTAATAAAGAATTTAAGTTTTTGGAATTTTTTGTGCTTCGTCGTTCGATTAAAATAAACGGAGTTATATATAAAAAAAAATGTAGGAGAGTTTGATAACTGCTTCAGTGGTAGATTCAGTGTACCTCGTATCCCAGTATGCATGTTATAACTTGGACCGAAAGAGACAAAGATTTTCTAAATTAGTACCATACTTATTTATACCTTTAGAAACGCCTTTCAAGTATCTAAGTACTCGCTTCGCAGCTGTAAAGTGTTTCTTGTGCGGATGACTATTGTACTGGGACAATCTGGACATGGTGTGAGTAATTTCTGGCCGTGATGCCATTGACAAATAGTTGAGAGCTCCAATTAGAGATGGATATTTAACAATATCTTCCAGCTGGCTGAAATTCTGGTCCGTGCATTTTTCCAAAACTGTTCCCAATGCAAACGGTGTTGGTGCTGGCTTACACAAATCCATTCTGCCAACAAGAGTTTGGTATACTTATTCTGATGAATAGATATGTCGCCAAGCTGTCCATCTCGCTCAACTTCCAATCCTAAATAATACTTTACAGGTCCTCGATCAATTGCTTCGATGTTTTCTTTCAATTTCTCTACAATCGCCGCCAGTCTCTTTCGATTCGAGCATGCCAGCAGCATGTCATCGACATATAGGGCAATTAAATTGATATCGCTTTCCGCTGTACAATCAATGTATACGAAACTGTATGTAGAGCACTGCTTGAATCCTATATCCTTTAAAATCTTCGTGATTTTCATATTCCATTCATGTCCTGCCTGCTTAAGACCATAGATCGACTTCTTCAGCTTACATATAGCATTCGGTCTGGCTTGATCGATAAACATCTCCGGCTGTCGCATGTATACATCTTCTTTAAGACTTCCATTCAAATACATATAGATTGAACATTGCTGCAATTGCCATTATCAATCGTATAGTCGAATATCTGACTACCGGGGCGTATGTGTTGTTGAAATCAACGCACATTCCTTGTCCGCAACCTTGTGCCACAAGTCTGGCTTTGTGTTTTTCAATGCTGCCATCTGCATTCCGTTTAGTTGTAAACACCCATTTACATCCTAAAACATTAACTTTCCTATCGATGTCCACAAGCTCCACTCTTCATTCCTCATAAGACTTTGATATTCAATATCCATCGCCTTTCACCATTTCCTTTTGTACTGGCTGACCAGCGCCTCTGTCACCGTCTTTGGATCTTAATTTTCGACCTCCAGTAGGTTCACACTCGCTGGAACGACAAATACCTTTCGCGGCCGACCAGGCTGACCTGTTCGCAACATTCTTGGGCGTTCGCGCTTTCTTGATCTTTGTAAGATAACGTCCGTCCTCTTCGTCTTCTTCGTCCTCAAGCTGTGGATCTTGACACAGTTCCTCCAGATGACTTGCACCTTCCTTGCACCTTTTCGTCTTCGATCGTTATCTGTTCTCTGAAACTTCTTTGTTCCCTTTGCTAAAAACACTTGCTCCATTCCGTTATCTTTTTCTGTCCCTCTATCGTCCCTCCTGGGTTCCTCGTCCAATATCTTGACCTTCAATTGACTTAGAGACGGTAACTGATCCCTGCATTGCATTGCTACAACAAAATTTTCCATATATTTCATGCAACTTATTTCAGGCATCCAGCGCCGTTGCACTATTTAGTATTAAAGGGCAAAAACGGCTATATTTGTGTTTTTTTGCGGTGAAATGTGTATTTTAACTTTATTGAGTTTAAACTTTTGGAGGGTAGTAGGAAAAAATTATAATGAAAAATATTTAAAAATAAGCCTGAAACGGTTAATCTTCAAAAGTGCCTTGAAAAAAAAATTGTTTGCGGTGAACATCATAACTCGTTAACGGATCTTCTTAAAAAATAAGTGACATGCGTTTTGAAGGTATTGTATTTCTCGAGGTAATCAGGAAGTTTTTTTTTTTCAGCACTTGGAAATAAGAAGTGCGATTTCAGCTCAAAACAGACATGATGCTGATCAAGAATATAGAGTATGTACATACAGTGGCTCGAAGCTTATTTCATGCTAGAATAAAACAAAGTTTTAAATCGACACCACTACCAAATTAGCAAAGATATCAAAAAACTTTAAACGCAGAAAGTTAAGGAAACTCTTTTACTATTTAAATAACAACAAAATTGTTTCCTTACTTAAAAAAAAATAAAACAAATTTTTATACAACAACTAAAAAATAGGGTGATTCTGACGCAGAAACATATTTGGTGCAAGCAGTTTAACATAAAATAATCTTAATAATTCTTAATTTAACAACTTTTTTTAATTTTCCTCTGTTTGTTTAAGACTTTAAATCAATTTTCATGTACTTGTACACTTTTCAAGTTGCTCTCAGGGGTATTTTAGCCCACTTCCCCATCAGGCAAATCTTAAGATCGTTTTCGATGGAAAATTCACTTTTCCGAATCGCCAAGTCCAAAACTTTACAGAAAAGTTCAATAAAATTAAAATTTGGAGACTGTGTTGGCGTTTAAATCCCATTGGGCCAGTTCCAGTCAAAAAAGTGTGACAAATAAGGTCCGAGTTGCACCAAACCAAATATTCAACGACTCCGAGGACCGCTGTTCGATGTCGATTTGAAATAATAAATAAGCTTCGAGCCACTGTACATTATGGGGTCTGAGGTGTCTCCTTCACTGCGTTGCAAACGTCTGGCTTAAACTGTAATAACCATTGCTCTGCAAGAGTATTAAGTGTTTTTTTTTGGGGCTAATTAACATTAATATGTCCTCAAATCTTGGCGCTTCAGTAAACAAAATCATGTCGGTTTTTTTATAATACAAAATGAAAAAGGCAAAACTTACGTGCTGCATTGTATTTTCTTGAATAAACTGAGGCTCGCCGTCCTGCAGTATCCGCATAAAAATTTTAAGAGAGTTCTCTAAAAACGAAGGATACGCTGGGCTTTGCATTATTATTTCAAAGTGTTCACTTAGTTCTTGTGCAGCTTTTAACTTAAGTTCTTCTTTAGCAGATATATCATTTAATATGTTTAGATAATTCCGGAATGTATTTACCGGAATATTTTCAACTGACGACATAATTAAATCTTAAAATTTTTGTTGACTACCAATTAATATTTTCACCGGTGTAAACAAGAATGACCAGCGAAGGATTAACAATTTCAAAAGACGATAGAAGAAAACATTGAATGATATATTATGAATTTTGGAATTTTGGTATAGGAACCAATACAAAGTTGTTTAAATAAAAATACCCATTTCACATTTCAGAAAAATCTGAGAATGTTGGGCAGCGTAAAGCCAAACATGTACAACTTCCACTTTACAAGAGCATGATTTCGCATTCATTCTCCGTATAATTGTTTAGCCGTGTCGAGATTTTCAACTAGCTCCACTACCTTGATTTAGTACTCAATAACTGTTAAAAGCTAAATTTATTTGTTTGGTCTTACATTAAAATCGTTGATAAAAGATGTAATAGGTTTTATCATCGGGAAATGGAGTTAAGAGCTCCTTTCTATATGAAAAGAAAAATTACCAATATACATACAGTGGCTCGCAGCTTATTTCAACCAGCACCTCAAAAAAAACTTTAAAGCCTTATATCTAGCAAACCCTGAGAGCTGATATACAATTTCAAAAGAAGGTTTGTAGTGTGAGCTTTTAACATAAAGTTTTTGTTTCCATTTTTTTTTTTAGGATTTTTAAATATTTAATAACTATTTTTTAACAAAAATATTCCTTAAAATACTGCAGCAGCTTATTTCCCGCGGAGACTAACTAAAAGGAAAAAAAAAGTACGTGCGTACAAAGTACACATGTCAGAAGTGAAACTTCTTTGGCGAACTAATTTATCAGTTTTGTCTATATTTATACAAATCGAAAACTTTAGATTTCCGAGACTTCAAGAAAGGAAAGAAGGATTATATTTTAGGAATTTTAGTGTCTTTATACCCTTGCAGAGCAAAAGGGTATTATAATTTCTGTCAGAAGTTTTCAACGCATTGAAGGAGACACCTCAGACCCCATACAGTATATACATTCCTGATCAGCATCACGATCTGAATCGAAATACGTCTGTACGTCAGTCCGTCTGTCTTCCTGTCCGTTTCTAAGCAAACTAGTCTCTCAGTTTTAAAGCTATCTTGCTGAAACTTTCCCAAAATGTGTGTAGTTATTGCACGCAGTACGGAACGGGCCGGATCGGCCGACTATATTAGATAGCTCCCGTACGAGTGAATGAAATAAAAAATTCTCCCGCCGTTGTTTTTGATCAGATCGACTTGATTCCTTCCAGATGGCGCTTTCTAACTACTATTGAATTTCTGATTAAATTTTATTAAATAAGCCGCCATAGGAAAGATCGAAAAATATACATCTAAATAATGGAATAAAAAAAAAGGGGTGTGTCCAGCCTACGCACGACAGAAGTGAAACTTCTTCATCCCTACTCATTTTTAAAATTGAAATTCTGTAGGAAACCGAATAAAAGCCTTTTTAGACGCTTAATTTTAGAGGTCTCGAAATGTGCTGGCGACTCTCAAAAGTTAACAAACCGATTGAGAAGAAGAAGAAGACAAATACATATCAATATGTGTTTTCATTTCTAGGTCAAATAAAATGGATAGATATTATGGTGCCAATTAATATCTGTATGCAACCTGTTCGATTTGAATTCCTTTCGACATTCACACATCTCACCCCTTTTTCAACTGCAACCGCATTCTATTTGTAAATTTTTACGCTCTCAACTTTGTGCGAGCGCGCTGAGAGCGAGAAAGGATAGAGAAGGATAGAGACATCGTTCGTCAGCGGTTAGAAAGGGATGGGGATCCTTGCTTTTTCGTGACGGTCATTAATCGGTTTTACTCCGTCCCCGAAAATCCATAACGCGCCTAAAGAAGTTTCACTTCAAAAATATAATCAGGCAGGCTCCGGTTTTCACTTTCACAAGATTCTCTCGTTTTCGTTTTCGAAAACGAGAATTGGTGCTCCCATTTTCACTTTCACAAGACTTTTTCGTTTTCCAAAACGGGCAAGTTTTTTTTGTCGAAATGAAAAGTAAATGCCTTTTTCTACATCAAATCGGTTCTTAATTGCAAAAAGAAAAAAATAGTTGACTCCTTGGTCTATTGATGTTCATTTCACACCATCAGTAGATCAATCTAATTCGTAGGGTAGATGGGGTAAAACCGCCGGTGGGTAAAACCGCCATTTGGATTTCAAATTCAAATGAAGCGCCGAAACGAGTAACCGTTGATAATGTCGATTCTGATCGATAATGCGCAGTTTTTGCAGACGGTCGAAATACTGCAGCTTTGTCGTGACAATTTCTATTGTGCCATTTTTGTTTCACTCGACGGCAGCAAAATATTTTGTTATTAACATTGCTTAATCAAGTGTAAATGAACGGCTTGAAAAAAAAGAGGTAAGTGTCCGCTTATAGTACGAACCTTGATACTGATGTACATGTATCAAGTTAGCCAATATTTCCAAAATTGTACAAACTAAGTGACCTCGAAAAAAATTGGCGCGTGGGGTAAAAACGCCGCGAAAAGGTGGGGTAAAAACGCCACACAATTTGATAACGGAAAAACTCGTTTCAAAAGAGGCAGACGAGAACGAAATGACACAAAATTCTTGCCAACGTCCCAAAAAAATCGACTACGTAGAAGACAGCGATGACACAGAGGATAAAGTGTCCCTTCCAATTTTTTGTAATTTCAATTTCTTATTTTTACTTTTATATATTCGTTGTAACATGTAATATCCATTTGAATTGAATAAAAAATTTTCTCAGAAGTTATTGACATTATTTGGGTACTTAACTACACTGAAACCAGAATGGCGTTTTTACCGCACTAGGTGGGGTAAAACCGCCGTTTTAAACATTTCTTCTGAACGGTCACAATTGTTTTAAAATAAAAGCTACATAAAAACTTTCTAAATGAATTATGTAGCCAAGGGATTAAACTTTCAGAAATATGGGTTGGTTCATTGATCATTTTATAAATGATAGCTTGACATCGTCAAATATACATTTTTGGCGGTTTTACCCCATCTTACCCTATTATTATTATTATTATTATTATTATTGCACATTTTACATTTGGCGAATTTACGAATTCAATTTTACTCAGAAAAAAGCAGAAACAATTAGAATTATAACGGGACATCTCATGGAATAGGCTATGAGGACTGCACACGCAGTGTGACGTCGGCACTGCACTTTGACTCTCTCTCTCTCTCTCTCTCTCTCTCGCAGCAACGTTGTTAAGGCGACAGCTAAAACTAACAAAGAGTAGTGACAGTGTAAGATCCTTTGTGTCGCTGCTACGCACACAAACAAGGGTGCCGATCACTAATAAATAGAAACATTTCTCACAGCGTGTTTTGATGCTTAAATTTGGCACTATTGCAATGTATTTTTTTTCTGCACGACGTAATATCCGGTTAAAATTTTCAATTTTCTCGAAAAATTTCGTTGGTATAAGCGGTTTGTCGCTTAAAGCGGAAACGCTCTAAGCGGAGGCCCTTTCATATAAGTTAGTATGGGGACCAACCAAACCATCGAGTTTTCGTCGCACCACCCGGACGGACACTATAAGCGGAGTCGTTATAACAGGATTCTACTGTATATGTATATTAGCAAAAAATTATTGTTAAAAGAATCGTCACAAAGCTAGGATGCAGATCTAAAAGGCCCAGGATGTGTAAAAACACAACTATGATCAGAAGCACGAGAAGAATGTAACTTATACAGAAGGGTATGTGGTCGCCCTTAAACCAACTCCAGTTTGGTCCCTATGAAGTAGTAGTAGTAGGCGTGGTACTGCCTAAGGAAGGTAGCTGATTTGAAAAACCTGAATTTTAAATCAACATGCGTATGCATTTTGAGTAAAAAAAAAGACTATCTGTCTGAGAAAGCAGTTACAACTCCCAGAAGCCGAAAAATCATTGTAGTTTGTCCAGTTGCTGTAAAGTACAAAATATTCTTACTGGAACATTATAATCTATATCTATAAACGTTTAAAAGTTTTTTTTTTAAGAATACGTTAAATGGTAAATGGTCACTCCAAACATCACAAGTGACGTGAGGTCATAATGCAGCCCAGAAACCGCCACAAGTACAACTTTGCCGTTGTCCGGTCTATGAGCTCCCTCATCGCGATTTTTTTGTATAATTGGACTTTCTAGTTGTAGACACACTTTGATCCGATTTCGGTAAATCAGCGGGACAGACTAATGTGTGATCGCGTGCCGTGTCTTTTAATATATGCTAATCTTAACAAATTTTAAGGGATTCAAGCTACTTTTAGATTGTGCGATTTTATCTTGTTCCCGTCTGGTAAGGTTTAATTGTGCGGTTTTATCTTGTTCCCGCCTGGTAAGGTTTAATTGCCGAAAGACATTTTTATTGTAGCAAAAAAGCCTGAAAGCTAAATCGGAGCAGTAAAAAGCGCAAATTTTTTTTTAAATAAAAGAAAAAAAACAAGATAGGAGGCTAGCTTCGGCTGGCTGAAGCTTATTTACCTTGCAGTTATCAAATTTGTCGAGCAAAATACATAAAGGCTTAACAACATCGAAGCTATGTCGATGTTTCTAATAATTTTCCATATTTTCGACTATTTTTCATATGGCAGCTATATTCGTTATTCAAGAGTCTTTAGAAAACTCTATATTCCATATTTGGTTGAAAACAACGATGTTATAATTTTATTTCCGTTATTTCTATATAGATTTTTCAATCTTTCCTATAACAGCTATAAGATAACATTTCGAATTTTATTTTTTTCTCGATACAAGGGTTATTAAAAACTCCATATTTCCCTGCAAGGGTATACAAATTAGAGAGAAAGAGTGATTTGAATGACGATTGAGAAAGCTAGAACGTATATGTGTAATTAAAATAAGCAAATAAAGAACCTGTTTGGTAGCTGACATAACTTAAAAATTAATTGACTCCTATATGACCCCATGTGGCTCACGCCCTAAGCCACGAGCGCTGAGCTGCCAACGATGATAATCACAGACACCAGTGATCTTTATAGCGACAACCAAAAACAGTGAAGAACGTCAACAAAAACGAAGACGGCGAGAATAATTTCAGTTAGCTTGAATAATTTCAGTTGTTTAAATAAAAAAAATAGCTGTATACTCGGTCGGGGGACCAGCAGGTCCCAAACCAAGAAGGCTTAGGTTCCCCGAGAAAAATAAACAGTATCTTTTTACAAATCTGGGGGACGGTGGCCCAGCAGGTACAGCGCTGGCCTCCGGTCCGGAAGGCCCGGGTAAGTAACAAACTTCGGCTCCCCGGACCCGCACACCCCCTCGTCCACGTTACTATCCAATACCATTATTACCCAACAATAGAACTTTTCGTCACTTCTAGAAGGCGCCAGGTGGCACCCCACCGCTAGGATAATTCGCTACTGGCTTATCACCAGTACGATGTCTTCATAATTTCTATGCTCTACCGCTCACGAAAAATAAAAACACAAATTTGGCTCCCCGGACTCGCACACCCCTCGTCCATGTTACTATGGACACAACAATAAAACTTTCGCTACTCCTAGATGGCGCTAAATGGCAGCCCCACCACTAGGGTAAGTCGCTTCTGGCTAATCACCAGTATGATCGAAAACACTTAAGATTAATGAACCCTCTACAAGTTGTTGAGGCCCCAGCTCCCAGGTGGAATTAAGAAGGTAAAACGTGTGTCTTACTAATAATATTATGGATAAAGAAGGGCGTTGTAAGAAACAAATTGCATGCTGTTTGACCTCTTTTGTCCCCTTTTTGTCCTTCGTTCGCCCTTACCACAAAAATCGCAAATAGGTAAAAAGTACTTTCTGCGCTCTGCATTTGCGCGAAATTCGAGCAAAAGGTTTTGGCTGCACAATGACAAAATAATTTACACAACTAAAAGAAATATTTGAACCTATTCTTGAGCTAAAGTTATGGTAATACTTCGGAATTTTGACTCCAGCTATATCTCAGCCCCAAAAAAAATTGGGAACCAAATCAAGGGTGTTTTCGTAAGATAATAACCCCCTTAGGAGGGGCAGAAGGTTTTTTACCTTGGAAAATGGAAATTTCCTCGGAAAAGCAGCTTTCTGAAATGTTCCTAATTGTACAGTATAATGCGTAACTTTTAAATTTGATCAATTCCATCGTTCCAATTCTTAAGCATAATCACTGACCGGCGACACATAATGTAATTCTTATGGGTATTATTTTAGTTTTCAATAAGTTTAAACCAGCTTTTTTGAGGTATGTTGTTAGGCTTTTGATTAAAAAATAAATACATAGAAAAAAAGTTACATAAATAAGCCATAGGTAATTTACAAAAGAAAGCCCTTTTAAAGATTTTAAAATTTGGTCAAAGTAAAACCCTTTAGAGTTATGTATGGAACCACATGAATTTACCTGTGCATTTAGACGGCTAATACATTTGTATGTATGTACATACATATATAAAACTTCTAATGCCTTTGGTTAGGGATTTATTCTTACATGCAGATGTTTGCAACACTTTGAGGAAACTTTCGACTCCATAAAGTATATACAGTGACGAACATAATTATTGGCACAGTTGGCTTGTTCAACTTTGAGGCTCTAAGTTTCTCCTCTTAAAATGGGGATATTTACATAAAACAAAATTTATTTACATAATATAATTAATTAACAACACAACCCAGTTTATTTTAATATTTTAAATCTTATAGTTCATTTTTAAAATTAAAATAACGAAAACAAGTGCCGAATCTTCCGGAACAAAATTATTGGCACACTTGCTTTTAATTTTAATTTTGGCACAATTTTACCGATTTGGCCAGTTTTTTTTTTAAACACATTTATTATTATCCCCTGAGTGGTATGGTATAACTTTTTCCAGCTAAAAGTATCAAATTGCCTTTTTTAAACCTTTTTTTTTCATAAAATAAGGGGTAAACATAAAAACTCTACATTATCGGACCGGAAAATTATTTGGAATTTCCACAATCTTGGAAAATTATATGGTGAGATCGGAGAAATTATAGACAGAAGCCACTAAACCATTACAAGCATCGGGCAGCGTTTTAAGGGCGCCTAATCCTTGATAAGTGATCAGCGCACAGGTTGACTCAAGGCTTTAGCGACCTTTTGGGCACTTTTTTGGAGGTTTCCTTTAAGAATATCGAAATATTATTTTTCCCATGATTCCTTCTATAAACTCGAAATCGTCGACACCTGCAGTGGAGTTGCAGCCCCACACCATGACGCCTCCAACACCATGCTTAACTGACATATCAGGGTTTTTGTTTAGGAGTTTAATATAAGGCTTTTTTTAAACAGTTTGGCGACCGTCAGATTGGAAAATATTAAATTTTTTTGTCAGAAACGGTGACATTAGCCCAAAAATCAACTGGCTACTTCAATTTCCCTTTTGCATAGTCCAATCGCTTCTGTTTGTTGGCTTTAGAAATAAGCGGTTTCCTTTTTGCGACCCGATACGTATAGTTAGCTCTATGCAGTGTCCTCCGAACCGTAATGGGGAGACATTTTTTCAAAAACTGTTCTCTCACCTCATCTGCAATCTTTGTTAATGAAATTTTCGGGTTAACTTTCACTTGTTCTATGATTTTGGCCCGCTTCCAGTCACTCCAGTCAACCTGTGCGCTGATCAAAAAAAAAAAAAACTGGCCAAATCGGTAAAATTGTGCCAAAATTTCAAATTAAAAGCAAGTGTGCCAATAATTTTGTTCAGAAAGATTCGGCACTTGTTTTCGATATTTTAATTTTAAAAATTAACTATAAGATGCAAAATATTAAAATAAACTGGGTTGTGTTGTTAATTAATTATATTATGTAAATAAATTTTGTTTTATGTTTTGTTTTAAGAGGAGAAACTGCGCCTCAAAGTTGAACAAGCCAACTGTGCCAATAATTATGTTCGTCACTGTATATTCTTGATCAGCAGCACCATACGGACCGATTTATACGTGTATGTCCGTATTTCTAACTCCTCAAGCTAGTCGCAGTTTTAAAATGTATCTCGCTGAAACTAAAATCTTATGCTCGCAGATTATTTCTTGCAGGTACCTAAAAAAAGTTCTAGTCGTTATTCCTGCTAAACTAAGAAAGATAACAGTAAAATTTAAATACAGTTTTTTAATAGGGAATTTTAACTTGTATATTGAACGAAAGCAATTTTCTTAATCTTAAAAGCAAAACAATTATTAATAAAAAAATGTACAGGCTTTTTTCATACCGCATCTTATTTCGTGCAGCAGATTCTACTTAACTTATTATTTGTAATTTTACAGCTACTATTTGCTGCTCTTATGGAGGAATGGCAAATAATTCCAGTGGAAACCACTAAAAAGTTAGTTGGCTCCATGGGAAATCGTCTCAAAGCTGTCCTGAACCAGAAAGAAGGACATATAAAATAGTAGCTGTAAAATTACAAATAATAAGTTAAGTAGAATCTGCTCCACGAAATACGATGCGGCATGAAAAAAGTCTGTACATTTTGTTTTTATTAAGGCAGGTTCTCTTGTAGGGCCGAAAAATGACACTTTTTTAAAAAAATGGTTTTGAGAAAACGGTTAAAGACAAAAATCTTAAATTTTTAACTTTATTTGAAAACATATTTATTTTGCGAAAAAAAATTTCAAAACTGAAAAATCAAAAAAGGGGCGGGAGGGGGCGTTCCTCAGTTGCAACATTTCGGCAAAAAGGTGTCCCTCTTACGGAAGTGATTCAGCCAAAACGGGTAATCGAAAACACAAAAACCGAAAAGATTCTTAAAGGGTACAGTACTGTGCATAAAATGAACTAGGATCAGAAAAAAAAAATAAAAATTGCAAAAGTTATTAGCTTTTGAAAAAAATTTTGATTTTCGCCCTTTTTTTCTCACTAATTATTTTCTCAATAAACAGTTTTCAATATTTTTGGATAATCCTAGTTCATTAGTTAAAGGAAACAATAAGGAACATTTAAAAAAATTTGATGACGGTTGGTTAACCCCAACGCCTTCAATTACTTCCGTAAGGTCCGAAGACGTGGTTCCGAGATAAACGCGTTTAAAGTTTTGTCCTCCAATGGCCGGTGCTCGACATGTGCTCCATGTAAGGGTCTGTAACTTTTGTAATATTTCAAATTTGGATCTGAAATTTTTTGAGAACATTTTCGGAACATGTATCTATACGATATGCCAAAAAATCAATTTTTTTTTGCCACAAGGTGAGAACTTGCCTTAAGAATGTGCTCAACAAATTTCAGATCCAAATTTTAAAAATTTCAAGATTTACAGGCTTTTACATGGAGCACATGTCGGCCATTTGAAGCCAAAACTTTAAGCGCGTTTATCTCGGAACCACGTCTTCGGACCTTACGGAAGTAATTGAAGGCGTTGGGGTTAACCAATCGTCATCAAATTTTTTTTAAATGTTCCTAATTGTTTCCTTTAACTAATGAACTAGGATCCAAAAATATTGAAAACTGTTTAATTGAGCAAATAATTAGTGAGAAAAAAAGCGCGAAAATCGAAAATTTTTTTTAAAAGCTAATAACTTTTGCAATTTTTATTTTTTTTCTGATCGTAGTTCATTTTATGCATAGTACTGTACACTTTAAGAATCTTTTTGGTTTTTGTATTTCCGATTACCCGTTTTGGCTCAATCACTTCCGTAAGCGGGACACCTTTTTGCTGAAAAGTTGCAACTGAGGAACGCCCCCTACCGCCCCTTTTTTGATTTTTAAATTTTGAAATTTTTGTTCGCAAAATAAATATGATTTCAAATAAAGTTACAAATTTTAAATTTTTATCTTTAACCGTTTTCTCAAAACAATTTTTTTTAAATGTCCATTTTTTGGCCCTACAAGGTGAGAACCTGCCTTAAAAGCAAAAAAAAAAAAATCGATTTTTTTTCGACACAAGAACCTGCCTTAAATAATTTTTTTGCTTTTAAGATTAAGAAAATCGCTTTCGTTCAATAAACAAGTTAATATTCCCTATTAAAATACTGTATTTAAATTTTTCTATTATCTTTCTTAGTTTAGCAGAAATAACGACCAGAAAATTTTTTTTTAGGTATCTGTACGAAATAAGCGGCGAGCCACTGTAAATATCGAATGGATTTGAACGAATCAGTCGGGATCGTAAGACTATGTTATAAAGCTGCCGCAATAGAAGTAATTAAAACAACAATGGGAAGAAATTTATATGAACTTTGAATATCATTTTTTTGACGAAAAAAAATTGTATTATTTATTGCATAGATATAAAGAAGTAACGTTAGACTGCATTGGTTATACGCTTCGGCTATTCGGTGCCAACCTTGTTTTATAGTGTTTTGTTATTGATTAGGTTTTATAGTGTTTTGTACAGTTCATTAAAAATCCATTTTAGAATTTTCTTAAATCATCAATTTTCCTTCTGTGTTTCATTTGTAGTCACAACAATGTTATCGCGGTTAAAATTTATGAGGTCTGCACCTCACCAGGTTTTGCGGACTCCATACTTAATCCCAAGATTTAAGTCAGTGCCCACATTTGAAGATGTTTCTGGAGCCAAAGTTGAGGAAGTAAAATTATTCCAGAACCATGAAAAGATGCCTCATGTCATACATAAACACAAATATAGATTTGCAGAAGGAAAAATATATCACGGATTTGAATGTGAACGCGTGGAGCACGTATCCGATTTTAACCTCACGTCTTATACTCTTCGGCATAAGGGAACTGGTACGGAATTATGGCACATCGATCGAAATGATGCGAACAATGTATTTTCCATAAATTTTCGAACCACACCTTTTGATTCAACTGGCCTTCCACATATTTTGGAGCACTTAACGTTATGCGGTTCAAAAAAATATCCTGTTCGGGATCCTTTTTTTAAAATGCTAAACCGTTCGGTAGCGACGTTTATGAATGCAATGACTGGTCCAGATTATACAATTTATCCCTTTTCGACAATGAATGAAACGGATTTTAGAAACTTGCAGCAGATTTACTTGGACGCCGTTTTTAGGTAAGATAACATAAAATGGACAAATTGGTTGGTATTAATCTCTGCTTATTTAGGCCAAATCTTGCCTATTTGGATTTTCTTCAAGAAGGTTGGAGGTTAGAACATGAAGACATACATGACCAAAATACACAGCTTGTGATTAAAGGAGTGGTTTATAATGAAATGAAGGGCGCTTTTTCCGAAAATGCGCAAGTTTTTGGACAGAATTTGCTCAATAATATATTTCCTGACAACACGTATGGACATGTGTCTGGGGGAAATCCGTTGGAAATACCCAAACTATCGCACGCTGATTTGGTTAACTTCCATAGACATTATTATCACCCAAGTAACTCTCGTATATACTCGTATGGATTATTTGATGTAAATAAAACACTTGCTCTTCTTGATAAAGAGTATTTTTCACAGGAAGGTTGTATTAACAACTCATTCAGTAGTATACCAAAGCAAGAACGATGGGTACAACCCCGTCATGTACATATCTCTAACAGAAAAGATAATATTGGTGCTACAATTGATCGACAAAACCAAATTGCTATTGCTCTTTTAATGTGTGATGCAACCGATATACAAGAGAGTTTTGAATTAAATGTTTTGTCTGAGGTATTAATTCGTGGACCCAACTCTGCGTTTTACAAGAATTTAATAGAACCAAATTTTTCCGGTGGTTACAACCAAAGCACGGGTTATTCGTCTGATACTAAGGACACAGCTTTCGCCGTAGGATTACAAGACCTTAAAGTTGAAGACTTTTCAAAATTCATCAAACTTTTTGATACAACAATTTCAAAAGCCATGGAAGATGGTTTTGAGTCGGAGCATGTCGAAGGTGTCTTAAACAATATTGAGTTGTCATTGAAACATCAGAGTCCCCATTTCGGAAATACTTTGTTGTTTAATTCTACTTCTTTGTGGAATCATGATGGCGACGTAGTTGCCAACCTTCGCGTGTCACAAATGATATCACGGCTGCGGAAAAGCTTAAGTCAGAACGTTGACTACTTTAAAAATAAAATGGAAAAATATTTTGCACATAACAACCACAGACTAACGCTAACTATGTCGCCTGACGAGTCTTTTGAGAAAGAATTTAAACGGGCTGAATCAGAGTTGTTAAATCAAAAAATAAAAGACCTTGATAAGAAAAGTTTGCAGAAAATATATAAGAATGGTTTGGAATTAGAGGCATTTCAAAGGTCTAAGCCGAATACCGAAGTGTTACCTTGTCTTGAAATGAATGATGTCTTCGAGCCACCAAAATGGCCGGAGTTATTTCTTCAGAATATTCAAAATGTACAGACTAAGATTTGCAAGGCTTCTACAAACGATATTACGTATTTTAAGAGCTTGTTTAATGTAACAGGCTTAAGTCAAGAAGAAACACAACTCATGCCATTGTTTTGCAATGTAATTAGTGCCATGGGCACCAGCAAATATAATTATCGGGAACTCGATAAATTGATTCTTTCCAAAACCGGTGGTATTGAATTTAAGGTAAATTTAACTGAAGATCTTAAAGATTCAAGAAGATGCAAACTTAGCGTATTAATGAGTACTCATGCACTTGATAAAAATGTACCAGACATGTTTTACTTATGTCAAGAGTTGTTAAAAAACTTTATGTTCGAAGATACACACCGGCTTAAAATGCTTGTAGAAAACTATTCTTCAAATTTAACCGTAGGAGTGGTGGGCTCTGGACACCTTTATGCTATGTTGGGTGCCAACGCATTAGTTAATGACACTGGTAAACTTAAGTCCTTGTTATTTGGACTAGATCATATAAAATTCATGAAGCATTATGTACAAGAAAGCAGTATTCAGGAAATATGTGAGAAATTGACATCAATCGGAACTAAAGTGTTTGACAAGAAGAATATGCGTTCGGCCATAAATAGCACAGAATCTTACTGTTTATCTGCTGTTAATCATTACAGAAGTTTTTTGGAGACAGTGCCTGGTTTGGAAAAATGTAAGGAGTTTAAAAAGGTTCTGTTTTTCGAACCTAGTTGCCAGCAATACGAGATGAACATACCAGTGAATTACTGCGCTAAAGTCTTTTCACTGTCCCTTACTTTCATCAAGACCATCCAACTCTGCGAGTCTTGGCAAAATTTCTTTCAGCCAAATATTTACTGCCTGTGGTTCGCGAGCAGAATGGGGCATATGGAGCCGGTGCAAAAATTAGTTCTGATGGCATTTTTAGCTTCTTTAGTTACCGCGATCCGCATTCAATCAAAACGCTTGATGTGTTCGAGAATACTTATAATTGGTTACGGTCGGAAGAAAATATGATGGATCAACAATCCCTTTTTGAGGCAAAACTTGGTGTGCTGCAACAATTAGATTCGCCAATAGCACCCGGAAATATAGGAGTTGATAACTTCCTTTATGAAATTTCACAGGAGTATTTTGAGAAGTATCGCTCGCAAGTTTTGTCTGTAACCTATGATGATTTGCAGGACTGTATAGAAAATTACTTTAAAAAAGAGTCGAAGCATTGGGGAAAATGCATTTTGGGTCCAGCCAATAAACATTTAGAAACGCAAACTGGTCAAAAATGGAAAATAATCAATTAATAAATAATAAATGCAAATATTATTCGTTTGACAATAAATTGATGATTCGTTATACACGCGAATTAGAAATCCAAACAACTTAAGTTCTCCATGTACCAACATTTTTTTAACCTATTAATTTACTTGTATCTATGTATTTTGTCTATGTGGAAACTACGAACTTCCCCTACAATTTCGTGTTTTTGTTGGATTGTTTTAAAGGGGTTAACAATATACTTGGTAATGGAAAATTTTTAGTCTTCTGAAGCAAAAAATGTTTTAAAGTAGAGCTCTATTAAGAGCCTTAAAAAACAACAAAACAACACGTTATTGTCCTATCGCATACTTTTTTATTTTTTGTAGACTTTGGTTGTTTATTTTGAATCTTCTTTTACGAGACTAACAAAATGTGTTAAAATCTTAAAGTACTACATTATTCTAGAAATTTTTTAAACTGTATTTATGCTTGACTGTCCTAATAATTGTCGCTGGATGGGACGGTCGTTACGATGAAGGCGGGAGCGGCTACATACCAACGTCAATGCTCTAGCGAGGTGGTTTGGATGGGTTGACAGCTTTGTGTAGTAATTTTCCATGCGCTGCGCAATTACATCTCGGACGGGGAGTACACTCAAGTCTCTCTGAATATTTACACTCCGAACGTAACACGGTGCCCTGTTGATAATTCTTAGGATCTTTGCTTGGGCTCTCTGCACGATTTCTTCATTGCTGTTGCTGGCGCTGCCCCACAACTAGTAGCCATAAGTCCAGATTGGTTTCAAAACCGTATTGTAGAGGAGGACCTTGTAGTCCAGACTGAGTGGGGAGCGGGAGTTTATAAGCCAATGCAAACTATTTGCCTTCAGCCTTAGGTGAGTTCGTTTAGCTTCAATATGCGTGCGCCAGGTAAGCCGTCTGTCGAGATGTACGCCAAGATATGTTACATCATCTGACTGGGGAAGCACGGTGTTGTTTAGTGTAAGGTTTGGGCAGTTTCGTCTATTTAAGGTTAAGGTTACTTGTTTACATTTTTGCTCATTTACTTTTATATGCCAGTCTGAGAGCCATTTCTCCACTACATCTAGATGGGCCGCAAGTTGCGCTGAGGCTTGTCGTGGACATCTAGATCGGCTGAGGATCGCGGTGTCGTCGGCAAACGTAGACATAGTCAGTTGTCTGCTTGTAGGGATATCAGAAGTGTAGAGTAGGTATACGCTCCGGAAACGACGCTTTGCTAGGACTAGCTGCTCTATTTTTGCATTTGAATGCTTTATGTTATGTGTTGTGTTTTGCCTTGGTAGTGTTGCGATTCGATGTGGTGTAAGTTGGATGTGCGAACTTACGTATTTTTTGAATTTGAGCCAGTTTGTGCTTTTAGAGCAGGGGTGCTCAACGCCTATACACTCAGTGCACTTTTGTTTTTGTAGATGCTCTGTGCTTATGGGTAGTGCGCGCATAAGCACCGTGCATATGGGCTTCGATTTGCATGCGAAACAAAAACAATTTTGCTTGTTTCTTCATTACATCTCTATCCGTCGTCACGCTTCGATGAACGCAATGTATTTTGTTTTTGTTTTTTCCTCGAGCACATGCACTGAAACTTATTTTTCTGTCTGCGTTGGCTTTTGATTTATTTCGTGATGGACCATCGTAGGTGTTATGTTAAATATTTTGGCGGATCAAAATGAGTGATGAATTAGAGAGCAGTTTTTTTAGCATAAACTTTAAATGCGAAGTACAATGCGTAATATGCTTCGTAGTAAATATTTAAAACTTTTTTTTTCTCTCAGTGCACAGCTGCGCCCCAACACAAACGCGCCGCTACATATGTACACGTTTTCTTGTGGGTGTGTTAGTAAACGCACTGCCATAAGACGAATTTGAGCACCCCTGTTTTAGAGGTTAACATGACGGGGTTGTCATTACTAACTGGCTGTTGGCCAGCTGGCTTTAGGCTAAAAAGTACAGGCGAGTGATATGATGATAGATCCGAGAGAGAACTGACGCTAATCAGATTCCGTGGGATGATTTTTATGACTGCGAAGTCTATCAAGTCTGGCAGTTTTCTGGGGTCGCTAGGCCAGTGTGTAGGTGATCCAGGGGAAACGCAGGCAAGATCCCCAGTGCGTATGCTTGGCGTTGTAGTCTCCTGCTGCTATGAAGTATTTGCCTAGTGAGTTGAAGTAGTCAATAAACTGGGCTTCGGATATCGTGAATCGAGGAGGACAGTATACCGCTGATTGACAGAGCTAGATTGTGACCACCCAACTGTAACCGTGAGTTTAGAGGGTATCAATGGTGTGTGGTGAGATCGTGCTGTTGACACTCTTTGGTTTATCCGACTTTTTAACTCCTTGTATACTGGACAGCCCTTGTAGTTTGCTGTGTGGTCTCCTCAGCAGTTACTACACTTTTTTTGCTATTTGGCTCATTTTTTAATTCGAATTAGCAGAGGTATGCAGCCCTCCGCAGGCGACGCATACAGAGCGGAGTGTGCAGTAAGATTTGGTGTGTCCCTATTCCTGGTAATTTGCGCACTAGACTGGGCCATTACGTTTATGCGGCTCTTCAACCGTGATTCAGCGATGCTTTAGAAACTGCAGATTGTAGATGGGACGGACTTCGTTTTTCTTAAGCGGCTTAGAGTCAGGTGCAAGTTCCACTTTAAAGAGAGGTTGCGGTTGTTTGTTTCGATTACGTTTGTTTGAGACTGTTTTTACGTTAAATCCTTTATCTTTTAGTGCCTGTTCGACATCTGGTTCGATTCCTTTTATAACAACTTGTTGACTTCTACTACTTTTTAGCTGGTAGGTACAGTAGCTCTTTTTCTTGGCGTCTAGGAGCTCCGTCAATTTTCTAAAGCTCTCTTTGCTTTTGACATGGACCTTTGTTTCATGTATGTCTCCTTTAGTCAAGGGGATTACGTGGAAGCTATCTTTACCAATCAGATCGATTATTATATAATATTAACGAGGTTGTTGGAGTTTTTCTCTCGTATGTAAAGCGGAGGCGGCCTCGGTTCAAATCTATTTGCAGTATTAGATTTTTTCACAGTACCTTGGCTTGGGAAAGCCCGATTGATTTTTGCGACGTTACCCATTTTTGTGTCCTGTGGGCTTAGTTTTCTTTTAATGTTCATGTAGCGATCCATGCCAGTCTGTATGGACGAACCTTGCTTTTTAATTAAGCATCTGACGGTGCTGCGCTAGCTGCAGTTGATAAATTCGCTGAGACAGCAGGTAAAACGCTCGACTGTATCGGGCATGCAGACGAAACTGATGTTGTTGTTGTCATTGCATTTACAGTTGCTAATGACGTCACTGTGCTGGTAACCGTGGCCAGGCATGTGGGCAGTTGGGGTGAGGCAGGCCCAGGAAGAGGGGAAATGCATTTGTCGCTTACCCCGCTTTGCACCGTCGCTGACATATATGGAGAAAGAGAGCGCGCCCTTTCGTTATGAGTAGGTTTGAAAGAGAAGTATGCATTGCTCTTTTGCAGCGAGAGCCGGCGCTCGTCTTGCTAACGTTGGCGCTGCGTTCGAACTTCGTTTGGGTTCATCATCTTATTTTTATTTGTATTTCAGTATTAGAAGCACTAATTAAAAAAAAATTAATAGTAACTTGCGACTTTTCATCGCAATAAGCATCTTTTCGCAGTTTATTTTTATTTTGTATCGGGTTTTTTTTTTTTTTTTAACGATTGTCCTATACCTATAAGTACAAAACTGAACTTCTAAAAAAATTTGTATTTTTCATAAAAAAAGGAAAAATATGGAATTTATTGACGATCCCCCTTAACGCCTCATAAAAAAATTTTTGCGGTGCATGAACTGCACCCCGAAATTCTCATAAGAAACACTAAATTCAATTTTAACTCGATTTTGTAGGGTAAGATGGGGTAAAACCGCCGGTGGGTAAAACCGCAATTTGGATTTCAAATTCAAATGAAGCGCCGAAACGAGTAACCTTTGATAATGTAGATTCTGATCGATAATGCGCGGTTTTTGCAGACGGTCGGAATACTGCAGCTTTGTCGTGACAATTTCTATTGCGTCGTTTTTGTTTTACTCGACGGCAGCAAAAAATTTTTGAAAAAAAAGAAGTAAGTGTCCGCTCTCCACTGGCTGGGGTAAAACCGCCGTTTTAAACTTTTCTTCCGAACGATCACAATTGTTTAAAAAAGCTACATAAAAACTTTCTAAATGAATTATGCAAGTCCATCTTACCCTACTTATTTAATGGCAAAATAACTTCTTTCCGTAGTTTATACGTTTCAAAGTCAACACGGAATCCTACCTACCGACTTGAAAATATATATGTTACTGCAGTCGAATTAACGGAAGTCACAACATTTTAGCTATTCAGCTGTCGAAGTCCCGAAAAACGAGGCAATCGACTTATTGTGGCTTTTTGACTTTTGTCGCTGCTGCTTTAAAATTCCTTGTGTCTCACAAAATCGATTTGTTTGGTCAACTTCTTCAAATAAAATAAAACGGAAAAAGAAAAAAAAATGAAGTTAACATGCAGTAGGAGATACGAGGGCTGTCTGATAAATAACCGACCTAACCATGATGCACGCGACTTTTTCCAAATTTTTTTTTTATTTTTCTACATAGTCTTCTTGTAACTCCACAAACTTCTCCCAGCGATGCTCCCATCTCTGCAACCCTACCAAATAGTACTTGGCGTCTTTGTCTGCAAAATACGAGTTACAAAAGAGATTGCCTCCTCATTTCACGAAAATCTCTGTCCGCCAAGCGCAGTTTTAAGTTGAGGAAACAAAAAAAAGTTGCTTGGTGCTAGATCCGGTGAATAAGGTGGATGGTCAAGCAATTCGAACCGCAATTCGTGGATTTTCGCCATGGCAATTGTTGAGGAATGAGATGGTGCGAAATGTGGCCGATTTTTTGAAATTTCTTCCTTTAGCTTGTCCAATAATGATGCGTAGTATACTCCTGTTATAGTTTTTCCTTTTTCAAGATAGTCGATAAAAATAATTCCATGGCTATCCCAAAAAACACTCGCCATCACTTTCCCAGCCGAATACACAGCTTTAGCTTTTTTTTGGGGCCGGTTCCCCCTTTTCAATCCACTGTTTAGATTGC